GGGGATGGCTCCTTCCTGTTCCAACATGACTGCGCACCAGTGCCCAAAGCAAGGTCCATAAAGACATGGATGAGCGAGTCTGTGATGGAGGAACTTGATTGGCCTGCACAGAGTCCTGACCTCAACCCAATAGAGCACCTTTGGGATGGTTTAGAGCAGAGACTGAGAGCAAGGCCTTCTTGTCCGACATCGGTGCCTGACCTCACAAATGCTCTTCTGGAACAATAGTCAAACATTTCCATAGACACACTCCTAGACCTTGTGGACAGCCTTCCCAGAAGAGTTGAAGCTGTTATCGCTGCAAAGGGTGGATCAACTCAATATTGAACCCTAAGACTAAGACTGGGATGCCATTAAAGTTCATGTGCGTGTAAAGGCAGGTGTCCCAATACACCCAATATAGTATATATAATTTACATGCAATCGTGATGATTATATTTCACAACCTTTAGTCTTCATTTTATCTCAGCCATGCAAGCATCAATAGACATCCACATCAAACCCAATCGAGGTTTGGTAAATTCTGTCCAGTGATTAAAATGCTGCCTATAGGATACTCAGTATCTAAAGGAAGAGAGAAAATTACTTTGGCATTGTACAATTTATCTCTTTTCGTCTTTGCTTACTTTCTCTCTTCTTCTTGAGTGTCAGAAGACAGATACTGTATTGGTAATATGAAGTCTGAGAGTTACTGTGCTCTCAAATGCCTTACATTCTCCCATCTACTGAAACTGTTAAACATTGTCCAATAACAGACTCTAGTTCAAGTGGACCTTACAAGTAGTTTGAAAATGCAGGCCGTGAAGTGGAACCTGTGGTGTCCCATGGCATTTACGGTGCTTAGGAAAGAACTTAAACTCTCTATCAAAAATTGCAATCAGGAACGTTTTTTTATTGCAGACATGACAAGCTATTGCTAGATATTACTAACTCTGGAGCATCCAGAATCTGGAGCAGTTGCGCATGGCAATCAATTAGATTCTAGCTTTTATTTTCAAAGCTTAAAGTGGAACTAAATCCTCCTATACTTTACAGAGAAGAAACTTCCATCTTAGCCTCTCTGGTGGCAAGGAAAGAAAATTTAATCATCTATGGCTTGCCTAAGGATTGAAAATAGTTGACTGAGAGAGTTTAGTTCTACTTTAACTTGAGCTTTAAAACCGTAAGGAAAACACTTTTTCATAATTTTTTTCTTTTACAAAAACAGTGGTTATTAAATCCCACCAGAAGAAAGCTCTGCCTGTCTAATAAAGATGTAAAATTCCTTGGGCACAGTGTTGCATAATCAAGTAATTATCAAAGTATCGCAAAACTGAAAAATGGCCTGGTAATGTGGATGAAAAATGCTGGTATTGAGGTGGCTAAGAGCAATTAAGACAATTACAGGTTCTGTTTTATATAAAGAATATATATTCTATGTGTGGATGGGCAGTAGACTGAAGACTTAAGGTGAACTTTGATGCCTGAATTGTCAATCTCAGACAAGGTATACAGTGTTAAATAAAATGGCAGACAGAAGTCTTTTGCAAGGAAGACTGCACAATTTTAATGTTTATGAACTTAAAATTATTGTAGAAGCACAGTTGTGAGTAGTTCTCGTTATTGTTTTGCTTCTGGAAGAAGCTCAATATCCTTATTATGCTGTAAAGTTCTTGCTATCAAAATCTTGCTTTGGGTAAACTGAAATAGAATCACAAAGGTCTTCAGGGTCACATTTATTTTTACCTCAAGTTTATATGTAGATCAAAAATATTTAACAATGATTCTTTAAGTTCTTTGTCCTTAAAGTTCACCTTTCCACAAAAAAATAACAAATGCACATTTTTTTCGTTGTAGGTAAAAAATGTGCATTTATTATTTTGTGGGTTAGGAGCCTATAAAGCATTGCACCAGTGATCAGCAGATCACTGGTGCAATGCAGGTCTCCTATATCTGCTTGCTCGTACATCCTGACACTGATCCTGATACTTGCTGACAGGAAGACTCAATGAACTACCATAGCGCTCACAGCGCCGTGGTAGCTCATTGAGGACTACAAGCCAACAGCCACTATGGCTGTTGGGACTTGTAGTCCATTCATTCACAGCACACTGTGAATGAATGACACAGCTGTGTGGGCGGAGCCCCTCATGGCTCCACTGTTTGCAAAAACTGACAGCCAGTACAGGGAACTTTTCATCATACTTCTGTCACAGGGAGGGGGGCAGCAGGCTGCGGCTGCGGGATCGGGATCATATTACATGTTCCCCCCACTTTTAGGGTGGAACTTGTAACATGTTCCCCAAGGTGAACTTATCCTTTAAATAGTTCAATCACAGCAACAACATTTTTTCCACAGTAAGAAATTATGTCAGATGCAGATGTGTAAATAGTGATGCAAGGAATTATTGGCATTTTGGAGAGCATGGCTGCATACACCCATTCACTTGTATGGCAGGCTGCGTGCAGCAAGTGAGGTCACCAGCCTGCCTTTCCACCCTGTCCAATGAGAAAGTGGTTTGCATTCATTCAGAAAAAGCAAAGCATTCTCTAAGTGGCATTCGTGCCAAACGGCTGACCTCCTGTATTCACAATGCAACAGGTCAGCTGATCAGTGCAGGACCTGGAAGCAAATGGAGATCACTGAAGTAGCGCTGTCAACTTCAGTGATTTTTAGCTTCCAGGGGCATTGGCCTTGTATGGTATATACAGTACATAGTTATATTGGTCCATGCTGGACCCATGTGACTATGTAAAAAAAATATACCATACCTGAAATTCTTTATTGGTTTACTGCAGCGCCTTCCTTTCCCAAACAGCAAACAGGAAGTGTGTTCTGGACCAAAATGCACTTGTAGCAAGGGGCAGGGTGGCGGTTGTTTGTCCTCCATTCTTTTCCAATTAATTTGTTGGGCGCCAAGTCTTGAAAAAACATGAGAGGCTGATCCCCAGGGTGGGTTCTTCTGGGCCACACTATGCAACTTGTACAGGGTCTCTCTTCTTCACATGGAGTATCTTTGCTTTAGTGCCATTTTCAACAATGCCCTGGGACAAGGCTGAAGTTGCCATCAGGGAATGCTCGACCCGAAAGTGGGCCTCTACTCGTACAAATGAATATACATCATGCATATTTACACATCTGTTCCCCAGTTACTCTCGGAACTCCGTGTAATTGTGCATCATCCCACTGTGGTTTGCTATTAGGCAGGCAGTGCCGGACACTGGCCACAGCTGCCTGTCCAACGTTTACCCACTATCAGTCCCAGTAGAGGCATAGAACCCAGCCATGCACATAGTGCAAGTTCCAAATGTGCACTTGACTTTAACTCCCAAGCTTCCATACAGGATGGAGACCTCTGCAGTGCAATTCTGTCCCACTTGCTATGGGAAAATGGACCACGGTGTAGGGAGAAACATCATCTCCCTCGCTGCTAAAGGCATTTCCACCTATAACAGGTACACTGTATGGACAGACTGCTTGTTGACCACTTTCACAGCTCGTGGCAATCACATGTGTAACTTGCATTGAGGTGACTCTTTAGTATTTTAACTCTTCATACCCAAGTGACCCAAGCTGTAGACTAAGTATAAAATTGTACTCTTTACATGCGTTACACCCCTTTGGGCAACTTCAGGCCAGGCAAAAGGCAAAGCTTCAATGTTTTACTGATTAAAGTGCAGCAATACAAAGCCTAGCAGAACTTCAACAGAACAGTCCATTTTTCGAAGTCCCTAGTCCGTAATCCTAACCAGGCTATTTTCTGTCCCAGCATACCTGCAGAGGTAAGTCCTTGCAGTTGCGACATCCAGCAGGGGCAAGTCCCACAAATTGGTCTCTTTGGGATGAACCCCATGTCGTTATAAGATGTACAAGATAGTTGTGTCATTCCTGCACCTTTTCCAGGTGTCACTATCTTTGAGGTTGGGAGACGGCCAAGATCGGGAAAGTGAACTGGCCTTCTCTCATAGTGGATCATCCAAACTCTCGGCCAAGAGAACAGGCCACCGGCCACCCGCTCTCTTAGATCCCGGCCCACTGTCCCAGTTTATACTCAGGTATATACAGGTGCAGTGGGATGGACCTAAGAATCCCCCCAAAGGACAATGAGAACATTAATCCCTAACCTGCCGCCCGTGACAGCACCTGCCTAGCTAATTCTAACCTGCTTACACATTGTTTAAAGCTGATCTTCACTCTTATATCAGATCTTGGAAAACCCTTAATCCTGACCTTTCCCCCTTCCTTTAGCACATTTGGTATTTTTTTGGGGGGAGGGTAACACTACTTGCTCCCACTTACTCATTTTTTGCCTAGGCGAGGATGATGTCTCCTTGGCTCAGCTCCCCAGCCTACTAGGATTAAAGTCACACATCTTGGAAAACCCTTAATCCTGACCTTTCCCCCTTCCTTTAGCACATTTGGTATTTTTTGGGGGGGAGGGTAACAATACTTGCTCCCACTTACTCATTTTTTGCCTAGGCGAGGATGATGTCTCCTTGGCCCAGCTCCCCAGCCTACTAGGATTAAAGTCACACATCTCAGAAGGTTACAGAACCAGCCTCCCTGCATTCCGCCTGGGCACAATAGGTGGCTGGCTGTAAATGATAAAGTCACAGTCAACTTTCTCTCAGTGATCGAAGTCACAGTGATCTAAAAGAAGTCTAGGCAAAGGTAGAGTAACCCACATGAAAATTATGGGTACTTCTCTACACCTGCACTGTGAGGAAACCGTAGCGTATCAGTGTGAAAGCAGCTTTAGGCCTCATGCACACTAGGCCTTTAGCTCCTATACATGAGATCCTAGTGTTTTTATGCAGGTGGAACCCTGTGACCCTCAGCCTCACAGTTTTTGATTGACATGGTGTCCTGTTTGTGCTGAAGCTGCTAAGTCAGGAGGTAGGCTGCTCATTCAACACAACAGACAGCCCATCTTCCAAAAGCATCCTATAATAGTAGCTGGGAGTTTTATCATACAGCAGACCTTATCAATGCAACTCCAGGGAGTTGCAGGCCTTGATTTGTAGAAACAAAAGTTCTAAGCAGGACAGGTACCCCTTCCTATTGGAAGCAAGTCAAAAACAAAGGTACTTTCTGAAAATGCGCTTAACATGTAAAACAATTTATAGATATCTCTTTTTACTCTGTGCATATGTCATTGTGTTTATTTTTGTTGCATTCCTTTAGTGTGGCCAATGGAATTCCTCAATATAATTTCTCAAAGCTGGATGAACTCATGGATCTTCTGATGGAGAATGACTTGGTGCCAGGTGAGAAAAACATACTCCCACATAATTTCTATAATTTTTTTTTTAATCCAAACAACTTTTATTGTCAAGATAATAGAGAAAATGGAACAGTACTTACAGAATCTACAATGACATTACTGCAACAGCAGGATTACACATAAATAGAACATAATTCTATTTTAAAGTGTGGTCAACTGGAGAACACATAGGGACTTGTTTAATAAGGCAGTATAATGATGATATCCAGATTTCAGAAAAACAACAAAAGTAGAATTCAACTGTCATCATTTTATTAGAACAATAAATGGTAATTGGTTTCTAAGGTATACTGCACTTACTGTAGCTCCTTGGCTGCATAATCAGACCAAATATAGATATAGCACCCTCCTAGATAAGTAGCTAGAAAGGTCAGGTACATTTAGTTTTTTTGGCTCCTCTGTAGTCAGTGCAGCAGTGTGCAATTATTTTGGGCTGTTCTAGGCTTTACTCTCTGCAGGTTCAACTACTTCCTCCTGCCTTCTAGTGGATTCTAGAATGTAGAGGGCTGGAGGAAGCAGATCCACAGCCTGAATATTTGTGGTCTCAGCCAATTCTTGGGGAAGGATGCCTAGTAAGTGGCTAGAGAGTGTATAAATAGCGGGAACTGCCAGGGTTCTTGCCCAGGAGGAGAAGTTCCCAGCCTGAAGGTCTGTTGCCCTTCTGGGCAGTGCAGTAGAAGTTCTTACAGGAGCTTATTAGGGTCCCAGCTAAGCTATAGCTGGGGGGCCTATTTTTCTGAAAATAGCTGGAGCTGATCAAGGGGTTTCACTGAGGATCTGGTCTAGAGAGTTCACAGGAGAAATGTCTGTCTGATATTGGAAGGAGGCATCCAATCACAGTATCCAGGGAGTACAGACCTTTAGGATGCTAGTGACTGTTTGCTACTACTATCGCTTTGTGCATCAGTGCCCAGTGTCCGTGCTTGCTTGGACTGGGAAATTCCATATGGTGTCTTGGTGTTGTTCATTCCCTTAGCTGTTACTAGAGGGACTGTACTAAGAGGTCTGACAAAGTGAAGAGTGTCCTCTAATTATTGCATGGTGTTACTGGATTATCTCATGGTTCCCAGTTCAATTTGCAATAAAGCATCAATAGACACCCCTAGACTGTTCATTGAGCTTGAAGAGTGTTTGTAGAGGTGTGCCTGGCTGCCATTACACTAGCTTGGGTGGAAAACATGGGTCAAAATCAGTGGGCCCTTTCTGGAGAGAGCGCTACATATAGTATGCGTAGATCTCTGTAGGATTGCCCAAATAAACCTAGGCTCTTGAAACATGAATGCCTTTTTACCTTTGAAGCTTTTTTTGCTTTGTAATGATGAGGACAAGGTTTCTTTGTCTAATGTGAATATGTGTATGTAGATTAGGATGTTATCTTGCACTGCTCCATGTTATAAAAAAACTTTAGATAATATATGTTATCAGCTTTCATTTCTTAATCTTTAACATTATTAGATAGATATTTTTTTTCTGAAATCAAGTTTCAAATGTGAAAAGATTTACAATGAATGTCTTGCTTGCCATTTTAAAGGCTTCGAGCTTATGGGAAGTCCATCTGGATTTTTTACTGATTTTGAAGATAAAATGCAAGTGAAAGAATGGCAACAACTAATCTATTTAACAGCAAAAAGGTACATAGGTAAGTTTATTGTTGTTAAGCTAAATATGTCTAACTAATCCGGATATAACAACTTGTCCAAAACTGCATAAATATTTAATACAAACTATTAAGAATGTCTAAACAAAAAAATAACGGTATAGATGTGGTGCTTCATAAATGTATCTGCAAAGTCAAATGGAAATATTTTAAAGATTGTAAATTTTTATGTACATGTTTTGCAACTGAAAAAAAAATGAAACCTGTATTAATCAAATACCGTTTTTATGCATGTCCAAACATATATGGGTGTGAGAACAGTGAAGTAGGCATAGCTGGTAAAGGTGTTGCAGCTGTAACCAAACTTACACATCTACATTCCCTAAGTGGTGTTAGAACTTTGCTGAATCATATTCTGGCTCCTATAGTTTGTCAGAAAGTAGATAGCCTGTTTACCTATCCATTCATATAAAAATTTGGATGCTTTCTAGCCCCAGTACTGGTGAACATTGGAGAGTGGATGCATATTTATAACTTTGAGCAATATGATATTATTGTGCTTATACAGTACAACTGGTTGGTAGAGCGTAGAAGCTGAACTTAGGTTGGTTGCCCATTGTTCCTGCACATGGCCAATATTTGCCAAGACTTTTTAACAATAAAATCTAACTAAAGTGGTTTTAAAGGGCAAAAGGTTTTGGCATTATCTGCATTAAGGAAAAAAATCTTCCAATGTCTGTGCCACCTGTCCTCCCCCTAAACACTTACTTGACACCACTCTCTATCCAGCACTTTCACCGCCAGCAGCCCTGCTCTGTTGTCTTCCTGCATTCATTGGCTTTACTAAGAGCAGTGGGAGCCATTAGCTTCTTATGCTGTCAGTCAAATAGTCAATAGAGTGTCTATGAATGCAAACAGCCTGGCTTGGGATTGCTCCCACATGAGTGCCCCTATAGCAGGCGGCTTGCTATGGGGACACTCACAGGACCAGAGAATGTCGGAGGACCAAAGAGGAGGAGGTTTGGGGCCGCTCTTTGGAATACCATTGCATGTTTTATTTTTAATAATAATAATAATTAAAAAAAACAAATAACCGTGGAAAAATGGAAGTTTTTCAATCACTTTTAATGTAAGCAGTAATAAGAAGCTGCTACATCTTAGACAGTTTTTTTCCTATATATTTTTTATTTTTTTGGTGGCTTAATCAGCAGGGTGGATGTTTTCAATGTCCATGTTTGCCTCTCTTTGGCTAAATGTCAGTGACACCTGCTTACCCTGTGTACCATCTTTATTATGTCAGTCAAAATAAGACATCCGCTTGGTAGTTTTACTAGAATCTTAAATAAACACACGTATTGTTCTTCAAACAGTTGCTTTCTCTGTGTCCTGATTACTGAAACTCAACAAAATATACTACGTGCTGGCATTGATAGTGGATGTGTATATACTGATAATAATATTGTATCTGTTGCGCAGTATTGTCTCTGTTTAGTGTGCAGTATGTTTATGGTAGCTAAATGTGTTAATAAAGGAAACAAGCCTGGATCATTTATTCCATCCAAATACAAGTCATATGTATAAACACTGAATCACAAATGTTGCTATTTTCAGAACATTTTAGTTCCTTCTGTCCCCAATAGTCTCCTCATTTCTTCCTAGAGCACTTTACAAAATGCCAAATGAGCCTGCCCTTTGCTTAAAGGATTGGATTGAAAGATCAGCTTCTCATTCAGTAATTTAGTCTAGACAACCATTATGTAAGCAGCCTAACTGTATCACTTCTACCAGGGCTTCCACAGCCACGAGATGATCATACTTCTAAAGATGTGGTTGACATCAGCATTTCTGATATATCAAACCTCTTTTAATACTGCAGTAATTACTGTTCAACATGTTTGGCTGTGCACTCTGGTATATTGGGCATGAGCAGATGATCAGATGCTAGGGAACCTTGCTAATTTTTGATGAGGCATGATATGAAACAAAAATGACAGATCAAATGGAAACAGAAGAATAAAATAAGAGCTTTCATCATAGGTTCACTGAAATCATTATGCTAGATACAACTTAACCACTTGCTTCCCTAGCCTATTCTGACACTTCTCACATAAAGATCAACTTTTTTGCTAGAAAAAATGCTTAGAGCCCCCAAACAGTTATGTTTTTAAGCAGAATCCCTGGAGAATAAAATGGTGGGTGTTGCAATTTCTTATGTCACATGGTATTTGCACAATTGTTTTTCAAATGCAATTTTTTGGGAAAAAATACACTTTAAATATACTTTAATTAATTTTAATGCACAAAAACACAATATAATACCCAATTATTTGGTAAAATATAAAAGATGATGTTACACTGAGTAAATAGATACCTAACATTACACGCTAATAACCTAAAAATACCCACGCTCATGGAATGGCGACAAATTATGTACCTAAAAAATCTCCATAGGTGACACTTTAAAAGCCTTTACAGTTTACCAGTTCATAGTTAAACATTAGGTCTAGTGCTAGAATTATTGCTATAATGTTTGTGGTGATACCTCACATGTGTGGTGCAAACACTGTTAACATATGCACCTACGTATGCATTCGCCCTTGCACGCAAGCATGGGGGCAATTTATATTTAAAAAAAAAAAAAATGTTATATTTATTTTACTAATAAAAGATTATACTGTCTTCTTTTTTTATCAGCTTTATTGCTATCAAAAGGGATGAACAATATCTCTTGTGATAGCATTGGCCATGACAACTCCTCTTTATCGATTTCTCCTCTGGCCTCCAAAGCAGCAGATCAAACACAGATTGGTCTGATCGAGCTGCTTGTCCGGTAACCAGCCAGTAAACACAAAACCGAAACATATACTTGTCACTTCCAGTTTCTTAGACCATAGAGATAATTGGGATGTTTTGATCCTCATTCATCTCTATGGTTAACTGGCAGAATTGCTGGCTGCAGTCCCAGGCTCTCCGTGGGATGGGATAGCCCAGGAGGGCAGCGGCTGTAAAAGTGATCCAGAGGCTAAGTAGCCACTCTAATGACTTTTAATGCATTCAGAATGCTGGCTGAAAAGATTGATATGGGGACATGGCTACAGCCATGGCCCCAGTATAACCACTGCAACTCAAGGACATACAGGGACATCCTTAGGCAGCAAGTAATTAAAGTGGAACTAAAGGTAACCTATACAAACTATGAGCAGGCAGACCTGTATTGCAGAAGAGACTCTCTTTTGCAATAACAAACACTTACCTGTCTGCTTGCAGTCTTCTAATGAATGCACACTGAGCTGTACATGTGCAGCTCATCGTGCATTCATGGTACTCTTGGACTGTTTCAGAATGACAGTCTCCCATGCGTGCATGCGTGGGATGACATCCTTCCCCCAGAAGCAATCAAGAGGTCAAAAACCTGGCATGTGGAAATGGCCAGGGAGAAGATGACGGTGGCCAGGGATGACATCCTTCCACCAAAAGCAATCAAGAGGCTGAAAACCTGGCATTCGGAAACAGCAAGGGAGGATATTACAGTGGCCAACAAGGGATTTAAATGCTGGAATGAGGTGGGTATTGATTTTCAGTTTAGTTTCACATTAATGTGAACTTAGGATCAGATATTTTTTTTTCATGTTAAGTGTAAGCAAGCTAAGTCAAGTGTTTGTGTAGCACAGGTATTTATTACCTCTCACAAAGTTTATAGCATGCTGGCTTCAACAATGTACCACACCCCTACTATAGTTCTGTCATGTATAATAAAAAGCATAACTTACACAAATCATAGTCTAAAATTATAATTATTGCTATACAATCATAATTGATTAAAAAATTCAAACACTAAGACATATAGTACAAGTGACCCGCACTTATTAGGACTCATACATATAAAAGAATATCTGATGGGTGAAAACCAACACATCTATTCTTTTCTCTATAATGCATTAGCAGGTATTTCTGTGATTCAACTCAACTCGTTTCATGTATAGCATCCCACTTCTTCAGGAGAAAAACAGTGGGGGGACAAGGGACATAAATCCTTGACAAGAATGAGGAGATAGCCCATTGTTTCATATTCTCCAGATAGCATTTGTTCTTCTACTATATTGTTAGCACAGCCTACTAAAGCTTCAAAGTAAACCTTCTACAAAATCTGAAACAGCCCTCAGCGGTCTTGTGTAGTTTCCTCTACTCCCGATGTCATCAAGAGGTGCAGGAGGGAATGGAGGAAACTATGTGAGACTGCTATTTTTATGCATGAAATGATCTCTCACAAAGATCACAGAACTCCCCACCGCAGACAATGTCTTTATGTTTTGGTTTTTTTTTTTGTCGGAAGAACAGCAAAATATTTGTTTAGGCACCATCAAAGGTAAGCATCTACTTTTTAGACTAAGTTGCATGCTCAGAGATGATCAATCGTGAATCCTGATGCAGTTTTTGTTCATGTTTATATATATCTGCAATGTTGATTAGAATATGGACAGTGCCACTGGAAATCAATAAACCAACCAATATGTAACATATACTGTGTATATCTGTATATATATATACAGTATATATATGGAAAAGCAGCTAATCCAACCCTTAACAAGGTATCCATATAAAGCAAAAAAGGCAACGCTCTTCCTTAGTATAATCTCAAAGTGCTGATAGAAATCTAAATAAATCTAAATAAATCTTTAAAACAAAAGTGTATATAAATCAATATTATATATCTATCTCAAAAATAATAAATTATCTCCAGTAAAAAGTGACCTTTTACAACTTATTCAATAAGCCAAAAATGTGGGAGAAAAAATATATAAAATGTCCAAACACCATAAAAGAAATAAAAAAAAAAATATATATATATATATATATATATATATATATATATATGTGATTTTATCTTCAATATTCAAACTTCATGTGAAAAAAACACATAAATCACAAATGTTGCAGTCTGATCACTCAGGGAGAGGAGACTGAGAACATACTTCTTCATGCCTGCAGTTAACTGTTGACTTCACTGCCACCTAGATAAAGTCACTTAACTGGAGTATAAGGATATCCTTTAAATGATAGAAGATGGAGCTTTTTTTTAATACGGTAGTTATAATATAGCTGTATATTGTGACATGTATCATTTAAAATAAACAAACACACATTTTATGGAAGATATTTTCAGTGTGATAACTGGAGCAGAATACATGCAAACATCTATACATTTAAAGCTTTTTAAAGGCAGTATGTTTTATCCAGTAAAGATATTACTGATATCCAAAACAAACAAAAAATTAACAAATATGATAGCATATTTTATGCTGAGATGGCTGGGCATGTCCAAAAATATAGCATGTATTGCCACTTCATTGTAAAATGGAAAAGGCTGAAAGCCCTGATAGGATATTTTAGTTAGGGGTGGCTGATGGAGGATAATTTGTATCATCCTCTGCCTTTTGACATTGCTCAGGAAGCCTGTTGACAAGTTGTCTCAGGTTTACTCGCCTACTGCAGTTGTTATGAGGGGGTCACAGGTGACATTAGATTAGACATGTGCAGTTCATTTCTTTCTGAATTCGGATGAATTTTTCATTATTCAGACATTCAGATGTCTCTGAACTTCCAAATTACATTAGTAACAAATCTGAAATAACAAAACAGAATTCGGACAAAATTCAAATCGAATTAGACTTGAATTCGAATCAAATTTGTATACAAAAAGAATAGAATAGAACATAAAAGAACAGAATAGAAAAGCATAGAATACACAATTAAAAAATAGAATGGAAGAGAAGACAATAGAATGGAATATAATATAAAAGAATATATTAGAATAGAATAGAAAATAATAGAATAGAATCAAATTGAATAGAACTGTCTTCTGAAAAATTTAATTTTGACTAAAATAGATTAGAATATAATAGAATAAAATAGAATAGAAAAAGCAATAGAATAGAATAAAATAGAATATAACTGTCTTCCAAAATTTTAATTTCAAAGAGCATAAATTTGAATTCTAATAGGATAGAATAAAATAGAACATAAAAGAACAGAATAGAAAAGAATACAATAGACAAAATAACAGAATAGAAAAAAATTAAATAGAAATACAATAGAAAACAATAGACTAGAATTCAATAGAATAGAATATAAAAGTCTTCCAAAATTTGAATAGATTAGAAAAGAATAGAATAAAAAAGAATAAAATCGACCATCTTCCAAAACTCCAATTTAAAATAAAATAAACTAGAGTTTGAATGCCAACTTGAACTTAGTTGAATATGATAGAATTAAACTCAAAAATGAAACAAAATACATTCCAAACATGAATTAAATGAATTTAAACAAATGTAATTAAACAAACTTATTTAGCTATTGAAACGAAACACATTTTTTTGTTCTGCACATCTCTACCTTGTAAATATTTTAAGTAAGAGGGGGGAAGATCTTGTTCCTGGAGTCACCAATAGATTTAAAGCTGAACTCCAGTCCAATAAAATATTATTTAGAAGCAGCGAACAGACCATTTTCTATAACGCTGTTGTTGCTATTTTGGAGATGCATTTGCACCTCCCCTGTAAAACTGTACTGCTGTAACATGATTCTGTTCTTATTTAACAGAAAAATATGGATTATCTCATGTCTCATCATGGAACTTTGAAACATGGAATGAGCCAGACAATCATGATTTTGACAATGTGTCAATCACCGTGACAGGTATTTATTTTTATTCTTTGTTCTTATTACTTAGAGGCATGCATTCTATACATTAAGGTAAAAAACCTTTTGTGTAACAGGATTCCCTCTCACCCCCTTTATACTTACCTGAGCCTGATCTCCATCCAGCGCTGTGCATGAGAGCAGCAGCTCTCTCTGCTCTCTTCCTCCTCACTGGGCCGAATGATAGCAGTGGGAATCAATGGCTGCTGCTGCTGTTAATCAAATTCTGTGATGAAGTTTCCTGGGAGGAACCCTTGAAGATATTGGCTGCCATGGAGTGATGCTTTAGGCCTAGGGGAAGCAAACTGCAACTGTCCCCCACAATAGAGGTGATGAATGACCGACTGAGTGGAAAGTAACAGAGGAACCTTTTCATGCTGTCCTACCTTTAATACGAAGACTGTGACATCACTAGATCCTCACTTTTCAAGGAGCCACATGCAAAGGAAAACTGTATAGCCAGTAATGCGCTAGTAATTGGACACACAATCTTCTAGGAAGATATGCAGAATACACTCCACCTTCCTTCCTGTTTTACATGTACATGTACAAAAAAAACTACAAAAAAAACTATACTTCTCAAACCTGTACAGCTTCTATGGACGAGAGCAATTTTTTTTCATCAATTCTGCTATAGCTATAGAGGGTCTCCACTAGATGTATTTTCTTTTTTATTCAGGGTCTAATAAATTTAAATTAAACATATAAAAAAATAATTTTTATTTGTTTATGCAGGGTCTTTTGGACCCTGCATGTCTCAATAAAGAGAACCTGTCAGCTAAAAACTAAAAATCATCACAAAAGGGAATTTGTGTCCTCTATGAGATGGGAAAACAATACAAAAAAACCTTTTTGTTTGCAAAAAAATAAAGTAAGGAGTATTCAACACAGAGTGACAACTGTGGGGATGTAAAAAGGGCTCCCAAGTGCCACATCCTACCACAACTAATGTAGTTCAACCATAGAAGAGGAAGCCAGAATTAGGACTTTAGAGGCACTACAACAATATTTATTAAAAGCATTTCTTTATTAGAATATACATCATTACACAGCAATGCATAGAAGTTATCTGCTAAGAATGTAAACCCCCATTTGGGGTGATGCATTCTATGCAGTTTCAAAAATTATAGATACATAAAATTATTTTGATCCATACAAATGTACCATGCAAAAAAATAAAGTTACACCCAAGCACATAACTCCCCCCTCCCCCACATATATGCACGACAAACGGAAATGCACATGTTGGAGCGCGTACGTGTGAAAACGACAATTGCGATACACATGTATCATGAGGAGGAGGACTGCCGAGTACTGTGCATGATCGTTTGCCTACATGTAAGTGGGTATTTATGTTTTTATCTTAATAAATTGGACATATTGCACTATGGAGCCTGTTTTGGTTATGTCTCTGAGTGGAAGATAGTGGTGTCGGTAGAGCGGTGGAAGAGGTCTGGTGAAAGTTACCATTATTCCAGTCAGACTGAAGGGATCAACAGGAGATTGCCTGACTATCATTGGAAAGCTGGTTGGCCCTTGAGGTCATTTCAAGGAGGTGAGGGGGCACTCAGATTGTTTTGGGATTCCTGTGGCACGTATGACACATTCACGTGTGAAGAGTTCCTCACCTGTGTGCTCATATTGGACTTTATCACCCCGTAGTCACTTGTTAAGTGCGTGTCAATTGCATCTTGACACCAGTGATTGATTTATGCTGTCACTTAAGGGGGTTCATTCACCTGTGGTTATTTGCTCCATATGTTATTTATTAATAGCGCTGCACCATTTTATAGTTTTTTTAATTTATGTTACATATTGCTGTGTACGCCAGAGTGAGAGCAATAATTCTAGCACAAGACCTCTTCCGTAGCACTAAACTGATGACCTTTAGGGGCTTTTGAAGCGTTGCCTGTAGAAAATATAGGGTACTGAAGTTTGTCACCATTTCATAGGCACAAACAAATTTAAAGTTTGGTATGTTTGGTATCTATTTACTTGGCAAAAACTAGTTTTTTATGGTTTACCAGAAATGTGGGTAATTTATTGCGTTTGTCCTAAAATTCATTTTAGTGTGTTTTCTACTAAAATTGTGTTTCTTAGACTTTTGCAGTAATATCATGTGACATAAAAGCTTGGCACTACCACTATTTTATTCTCTAGGGTGTCTGCTTTCTGAAAATATATAATGTTTTGGGGGTTTGTGTAATTTTCGGGCCTGAATAAATTTTTTTATACATGTGCATAAAATGCAAAAGTTCTGGCAGCAAAAAGGCTAAGGCCCCTTTCAGACAATGGGCTATTGCAGCCGCTGGATTCCTGTGGCAAGAATCTGTGGATTCTGGCTCCTGGAATGACCGGAATTTGCAATCAGCAGCAGACGCTCAGGCCATTTAAACTAATTGTGGGCTGACAGTGGCTGCTGTTTGCAAATTGCTGCAACCAGAATGGTCCATCCAGGCTCAGACATCTGTTCCTACCTGCAGCTAACTGTTTTTGTGTGTGGCTAAATGCAAACAATAGCGGCCTCTCAGATTGCACAACCCGGTCATTTCAGCAGCAGAATCCACGAGTTGTTGCTGCAGGAATCCAGGCAGCTGCACCAACTTGGCTGTGTGAAAAGGGCCTAAGACCTGAGAATTGCTGGCAAGTGGGAGTGGAAGACGCAACAGTGGGGTATGGCTGAACATGTTACACATGCCCTGTGTACTTTGATGAGGTTTTTTTGGGTGTGTGTGCTGGCCCAGTGTCCTCAAATAGTTAATGATTGGTTTTCATTATTCTGAAACAAGAATCACTCCTTGAGACGAATAAGTTAATTTAGTCACTGGTGAGCTGAAGATCAATATTTATTTATTTATTACAGGTACTTATATAGTGCTGTCAATTTACGCAGCTCTTTACACACACACATATATATATATATATATATATATATATATATATATATATATATATATATAGTACATTCACATCAGTTCCTAACCCTCAATCTAAGGTGCCTAACTCACATTCATACATACACATACTAGAGCCAATTTAGACAGGAGCCAATTAACCTACCAGTGTTTGGAGTGTTAGAGGAAGCCGGAGTACCCAGAGGAAACCCACGCAGGCACAGAGAGAATATGCAAACTCCAGGCAGGTGGTGCCATGGCTGGGATTTGAACCAACGACCCTAGTACTGCCAGGCAGAAGTGCTAACCACTATATTGATTGTAAAAAGCGGAGTTCCACCCAAAATGGGAAGTTCCCCTTTAAAGATTGGTCCCCCACTCCCCATTAACAATTGGCATCATCTTCCCACTTCTGCTGCGATCGCCTAGGTGATCATAAGCGGAAGTTGCCCTCCTACCCTCCCTCCCCGTAGTCTTGTGGGACACATGACAGGTCCCAGAAGATGACGGGGCCATTCAGGAAGCACAGCGTTACTCGCCACAAGATGCTAGCACCTGGAATACAGGACAGCAGGTGAAACGGGCTGCGGCGGGGGCAACGCAGGATCGTGGGACAGGTAAGTGGCTATTTTTTAAAAGTCAGCAGCTACAGTTTTTGTACATGCTGACTTTTATTTTTTTACAGTGCGAGTGGAACTCCGCTTTAACTATTGAAAGTGCTTCACCCTAGCATTACACACTTAAAATGTAGGATGTACTGGCAAAAGACTGGTAGTTTTGCATGAGCACATCATTATAATTTATCATCTTGAAAAGGTTATTCATCAATCCTTTACACTTGCTGTTAATGCCTGTAAGAGACCTGTGGTGTGGCCTCACCATAGCTAAAATCTTTGGAATTATGCAACACAACAACTTTTACATTTACAATTTTCTCAAGGGCAATACTCTATAGGGGGGCACATAACAAAATCATACAAGCTCAGTAGAGTCTCTTCATAGCTGTCCAGCATAGCACTCAGAATGAAAACAGTTTATACTACTAACAGCAAATGTTGCTTTGACAGTAACCACATTATGTTTTATAACCTGTAAACCGATAATAAACATGCTTTTATTTGTGCAGGTTTTCAGAATTACTATGACGCCTGCTCGGAGGGCCTCAAACAAGCAAGCCCTCTTCTAAAATTTGGGGGACCTGGGGATTCATGCAGATCACCACCAAAGTCACCCTTCTGTTGGGGTCTTCTGAGCCACTGCTTCAATGGGACTAATTTTTTCACTCAAGAAACAGGTGTTAGGCTTGATTATATCGCCCTACATAAAAAGGTTAGTGTGAACTGGTGTAATATCTTAATGGTTGTTATCCTTTCATACACATGACATGTTCATACATGCACCTAGTGCTGTTATGTGTTTCAATGCATCATCAGTAGCTCTGATTTTGAAATTTAAAAGACAGATGTTTCTACAGACTGCAGATTTCTGACTCTCAGAAGCAGCCTTCTTATAGGATTAGTATCAGCATATCAATTTAACATGGTGGTCAGTAGGAAGTTATTCATTGCCCTTATAGGAGTAGATGTTTGCCCATAAAGCAATGCAACTGTGTGGTAGGTATTGCAAGACTGTAAGACCGCTCACACTGCCCGCATATTAAACGCTCTGGTGCATCTTTCAGTGCATCACACTTTTTTTTTTTTTTGTTAACTTTATTTGTGCAAAAAGTGATACTTCATTCATGTCATTCACAGCATTGACAGTGACATGCCTACCTGTGCACTGCAGTAAAATGCAACATGTCTGTATTTTAATGTAGATCACTGTAAGTCTAGGCTGCACTGTGAACGGGGCACATAGAAATTATTTGTTTTCTCTGTGCCTCAGTGGTGGCTGGCAATCACCCAATTTTCATGCTTACCCATAACGCAGGTGGTCAGACACTATAATTGGCTTCTGTGTTCTTCACCTATAGCAGCCCCCTTTCCCATAAGGCAAAGCAGGGTTGCTGGTACTTGGTTGCCCCCTCCAGGTTCTGTACACAATGCTATAGTATCTGGCTACCACACCAGGGCAGGCAAGAACTGAGCACAGCAAATAGGTACTTGTAATTGGCAGAGTGATTCAATGACAGTCAAAGTACAAGGCAGGCAAGGTTCACAATAGTCACGTTCATATCCATAGTCAAATGGCAGGCAGAGTTCAGAGAGTAGTCAATATCCTATCCAAAGTCATCAATGAGGGAATCAAAACTAGCAGGCACAGGAACAGGGCAGACAAGCAGGGAGTTTGGAGCATGTGTTACAAATGCAATATCACAAGCATGAGACTGCAGGTTTGGCTGGCGTAAACCGGGTTTGGTCTCCACCCATAGACTGGTCTCATCAATCACCTTGCAGGTGGACAGATAGACAGGGAGAATGTATCACAACCAAACCCAGGATGCTAGAATGAGACCAGCAGCTGTGATGGAGCTGCATCACTAAACACTCCTGACGCCAATGCAAAAGAATGCCAGTCACCGCACAATGCCTTTACAGTACAGCACTGGTTTCTTAAAACAAGTTTGAGAATAGCTTTTAGAAAGATGTAAATTACTCCTTTTTGTCCCAGTTGCCCCTTTTTCTTTCCTAACTTGTATATACACATTTATTCATAACAAATTGTAAGCCCAGATGGAAAAATACAGATGGTTGACTGCAGATGACTGGTTTTAGTGCAGAATGCATATCATGTTTGTGGTGTATTAAGTGTTAAGTGAAAATGGATAATCTTGTCTGCCAGTCTTCAGACACATCATATCGTTTATAACTGGTGATCCTGAGACGTAGATGGGTTTATCTTGACATACAGTCACTTTTTAAAAAGGTTTTGGATAGAATATAGAAAATGTTTTGTTGCTGTAGGTCAGGGGTGTCCAATCTTTTGCCATTCCTGAGCCACATTGGAAGAAAAGGAATTGTCCTTGGCCACACATGAAATACATTATCAATAAGGATAGCTGATGAGCAGAAAAAGTCAGGCAGATCACAAGTTAACGATCATTGATATAGATAATGTACCTATCTGAGTAATAAAACTTCACTTCAACTTTGTAATATTTTTAATTATATAAGTAAAAGAGGGCAACATAAAACTAGTGCAATATTTGACACTGTTTTTGATAAACTAATGCATCAATAACCGGCTTTGATGGATGTAGTTATTATTGTTATATTATTATACAGGATTTACATAGCACCAATAGTTTTTTCAGCACTTTACAATATAATGGGAGACAATACAGCAACAATACAGTTCAATACAAGAGGGATAGGAGGGCCCTGCTCCTTGGAGCTTACAATCTAGGAGGGAGGGGCTAGTGGTACAAAAGGTAGTAACTGTGGGGGATGGACTGGTTGGAAGAGTAGAAGATTCCAGTATTAGCTGAGGGTAGGAAAGGCTTCCCTGAAGAGATAGGTTTTCAGAGATACCTAAAAGTGAGCAGAGTAGATGATAGTCTGATAGATTGGGGTAGAGAGTTCCAGAGGATGGGGGAATCTTTGGAGAAGTCCTGGAGACAAGCATGGGAGGAGGAGACAAGGGAGCTAGAGAGCAAGAGGTCATGCGAGGAGCAGAGAGTACGGTTTGGGTGATATTTGGAGACAATATTGGTGATGTAATTTGGGGCAGAGTAATAAATGGCTTTATATGTTATTGTTAATGTTTTGAATTTTATCTGTTGGGCAATGGGAAGCCAGTGGAGGGATTGGCAGAGAGGGATGGCGGATACAGAACAGTTAGTAAGGTGGATAAGTCTGGCAGCAGCATTCATGATAGACTGAAGAGGGGATAGCCTGCGATGAGGTAGGCCAATGAGGAGGGAGTTACAATAGTCAAGGTGAGATATAACCAGGGAAAGAATAAGTTGCTTAGTGGTTTCCGAGGTTAAGAACAGGCGTATCTTGGAGATTTTGCGGAGGTGAAGTCTACAAGATTTGGAGAGCGATTGGATTTGGGGCTGAAAGGACAGATGGGAGTCTAGGATATAGTAGCAATTCTCAATGAATACTCAAGGTGCTTATCAGATAGTTTGGTTCTAATTTGCCCTTTGTGCACTTCATTCTTGACAATAGTTGCTCGCAAATATAGTTGCTGCCGAAAACTGATAACATGAATAAGGCATGATTGTGAAGAGTGGGAGATTTTTCTTTAGGAAGATAAAACTTCTAAAAGTCCAGTTAGGAGACACTGTCAAATTTTACTTTGGGTGCATGTTTATGCTAAGTGTAAATTTAGTTTTACAAAATATCCCCCCCAAAAAATGAACATTTTTAAGTAAGTTTACGACTTTGAGCTGGGCCGCATTCATAGCCCTCTTGGGCAGCATGCAACCCATGGGCCACAGGTTGGACACCCCTGCTCTAGGTTCTGTGCTGAGGAGATTACAGCTGAATTCCAGGTATGGATTTTTTTTTTTGCATAAGTTTGTTGATCCACCTTGGACCAGTGCAAGTACATGTATACCGTACCTGTGGGATCACTATGGAAGCCACAAATCACTGTAGTAGTTACCACTATGAAGTAAAATGAAAGGCATTCTGTGAGTGGCACCCACGTTTAGTGAGCAACTCTCTGTGTTCATTATGCAGAAGGGCAGCTGCTTGGCATTGGACCTGGAAGACCGCGATCTACAGTGATGTTCTACTTCCACAAGAATCTCACAGGTATCGCACATACATACTTTGTCCAAACTGGACCAATGTAACTATACAAAAAAGCCATACTTGGAATTCATCTTTATACCATCCTATCTTAGTGACCATTCTCACTAGAACAGAAATTGATTGAGAAAAAAACAACATGTTGCAGTTGTCACCAGAACAGAGATAGAGGATAATTCTTTCTTTGGTGGCATTAGAAGAATAGACAGTTCCGCTGAAGTTTTCTTTCATTCCAGAGATTCCTCTTTGCTTCCTGTTGTGTCTCTAGCACAGAGCATGACATCCATAAATAGGTTAGAGATGGCAACATAGAAACACTGATAGAGGGTCTGATCATTTTCTAGTTATCCAAAAAAAGAAAAAAAAAAGGTGTTTTCTGATGGCTCCAGTCAGAACATTGAAAAAGATTTATTTTCTATATCTATTTTCCAGCACATCTGACTTTCTTTATATGTTTGACATGCATGCCATAATCAGTGATTTGTAATGCTGGCTGAATTTTGCTCAATAAATCTCTAACATTTTACACCCAGTATAGTTAATGCTTTAACAATCCAGCAGTTTTGGGTTTGATTATTTTCAGTCTATGCATTTGGATGGAACCTGTAAATGTACGGTATGCGCCTATTCTAAATTGATCAACCCACTCGGGCCTCCACTGCCCAATGGTTTTGGGAATGTTCGAGCTCGGAAGTGATTTCATTTTGTTTGTCCTACTCTAACACCCTGTGGTTGGCATGGACACACCTGTGATAGGTTCCAGCTTCCTTGTTTAATGTTAATTAATGTGTGTAAATGAAACATGAAATGGCTTTCATCAGAAACCTACCTGCTATGCTTATAGTTTAATGCCCTCTTGTGGTTATACAGCTACATTGCTTGGTCTAATAGATTATGTTTAGTTTCTACCTTCTACTTGTTTTTTTCTTCTTTCAATTGTTGCAGGGAGGTGGAAGATCATTTCCCATTTTGGAGCAAGAAATCAACACTGTTTCTGAAATTCAAACACACTTTCCCACGTTCAAGTCAGTCCCTATATACAATGATGAGGCAGACCCACTGGTTGGATGGTCGACACCACAGTCATGGAGGGGTGATGTAACATATGCTGCCATGGTAGTAAAGGTGAAAAGTGAAAAAAAAGACACCTTTTTAAAGGGAGACGTGGGGAAAAGAAGCCACAGATAGGCAGCTATCTAATAGAAGTGAAGTGATTATACCAGAAATGATAGCATGAGAGTGGGAATAATTGAAAATATTTACCAATAAAATTAGAGTAATTATTGATATGATCAGAAAACACAGGTGCCATATGAGTGATGAAGCAGTTTAAAGGGATTTTACGGTGTTTTACATTGTGACCTTATAGAAGTTGGAGTGCAGAGGCCAGGGAGAGAGATCAGGCAGAAGATGAAAAGTTTAGGTGAAAGTTACATACATAGTTACATAGTTGTCTTGCTGAAAAAAGGCAAAAGTCCATCCAGTTCAACCATAGAAAAAAAAAAAAAGTTATAATCCTACATCCACAGGTGATCCAGAGGAAGGCAAAGCAAAAAAAAAAAACCAGCAAAGCATGATCCAATTTGCTCCTGCTGGGAAAAAAATTTCTTCCTGATCCCCTGAGAGTCAATCCCTGGATCAACTTTTACCTATAAATGTTAGTATCCAGTTATATTCTGTGTATCTAAGAAAGAATCCAGGCCTTTTTTGAAGCAATCCACTGAGCTGGCCAGAACTAACTCTTGAGGGAGTCTATTCCACATTTTCACAGCTCTCACTGTGATGAAACCTTTCTGTATTTGGAGATTAAATTTTATTTTCCTCCAGATGTAAAGAGTGCCCCCTTGTCCTCTGTGATGACCTCAGGGTGAATAACTCTACACAGAGTTCACTATATGAACCACTGATGTATTTATACATGTTGATCATATCCCCCCTTAATATTCTCTTCTCAAGAGAGAATAATTTCAGTTCCTCTAATCTTTCCTCATAGCTGATCTCCTCCATGCCTCTTATCAGTTTAGTTGCCCTTCTCTGTACTTTCTCAAGTTCCCCAATGTTCTTGTTGTGAATTGGTGCCCAAAACTGAATTACATATTCCAGATGAGGTCTTACTAATGATTTGTACAGGGGTAATATGATATCTCTCTCTCTCTCACTTTAGAAACCGCAGCTTGGCATTGCATGCCATTATTAAGCTTGTGATCTACCAGAACTCCCAGATCCTTCTCCACCATTGATTCTCCCAGTTGTACCCCCCCTAGTATGTATGATGCATGCATTTTCTTAGCCCCAAGTGCAAAACCTTACATTTATCAACATTAAACCTCATTTGTCACATAGTTGCCCAATTAAACAGTGCATTGAGGTCGGCTTGTAAGTTGGAGACATCCTGTAAATACATTATTCCACTGCACATCTGCAAAGACTGAAATGGGATATTTAAACTCAGACCCTATATCATTTATAAATATATTAAAAAGTAAGGGTCCCAACACTGAACCTTGGGGTACACCACTGATGGTGTACGTTACCATGGATAGAAACATAGAACATAGAAACATAGAAAAGTGACGGCAGAAAAAGACCAAATAGTCCATCGAGTCTGCTTGTTTTTTGTTTTTATTAATGGGATAATGGGAATGAATATACAATGAGTGATGAAGCAGTTTAAAAGGATTTTAAGGTGTTTTACATTGTGACCTAATAGATGTTGGAGTGCAGGGAAGGCCAGGGAGAGAGATCAGGCAGAAGATGGAAAGTTTAGGAGAAAGTTACCATGGATAGAAACACAGAACATAGAAAAGTGACGGTAGAAAAAGACCGAGTAGTCCATCGAGTCTGCTCGTTTTTTGTTTTTTATAATGGAAGTGAAAATCCAATGATGAGGCAGACCCACTAGTTGGATGGTCAACATCACAGTCATGGAGGAGTGATGTCACATATGCTGCCATGGTAGTAAAGGTGAAAAGCAAAAAAAAAAAAAAAAAAAAAAGACACCTTTGTAAAGGGAGATGTGGGGAAAAGAATACGCAGATAGGCAGCTATCTAATAGAAGTGTTGTGATTATACCAGCAAGGATACCACGAGAGTGGGAATCATTGAAAATATTCATCATTAAAATGAGTATTTATTGATATGATTAGCAACACAGGTGCCACATGAGTGATGCAGCAGTTTAAAGGGATTTTACGGTGTTTTACATTATGACCTTGTAGAAGCTGGAGTGCAGGAAGGCCAGGGAGAGAGATCAAGCAGAAGATGGCAAGTTTAGGCAAACGTTACCATGGATAGAAACCTGTGGGGTATTTCGGTTTTGTGCTGCCCTAGGCAACAAAAAAATAGAAGCCCCCCCTTCCCCCGGGGCAAGAGAGCCTGACACCGACCAACACCCCCCCCCCTTCCCCCCCATGGAGAGAACCTAACATTGATCAACAACACACCTGCCCCCCCCCCACCCTAGAGAGCTTTGAACTAACATACAACCCCCCCTTCCCGGAGAGAGAAAGAGAGACACATCGCTGGGAACAAGAGTCAGGCTCCACATACACCATCAAGCAGTCTGCAGCCTCTCTCAGATCCCACCTGGTCCCCATACCGCATGTATCCCTTCTTCCGGGGGGGGCACTTCTGCCCCCCTGAAAAATGCTGCCCTAGGCAGATGCCTTTCTTGCCTTGTGGTAAATACACCCCTGATAGAAACATGGAACATAGAACATAGAGTGATGCCAGATAAAGACAGACATGTTACACAGTTAAGACACCAGAATATTCAAGTGACATTATTAGAGCAGTTGTCACCAGAGCTGTCTTTTTCCACTAGGAAAATCCAGGAACAAGGGGTAACTGTTTAACCATTAGCTGCCCGGCCAATGGCCGTTTGGCGGCTTGAAATGCGCTCCTAAATTCCGGGTGCACGCCATTTGGCGTGCTCCCGCACATGCGCAGTCTGCGGCACAGCAGAGCGGCGCAGCAGCGGGATCTGTCACGGGCCGTGCACCTCGGACACGGCCGATGACAGATCCGAGTACCGGCTCCCGTAGCTGGTACCATGTGACCTGCTGTGACCAATCACAGCAGGTCACATGATAGTTGTATACAATGGATGGCTTCATTCATGATGCCATCCATTGTATACTAGTGCCTAGCTGTGAATGGTCACAGCAGGTCACATGCACATGTCATGTGATTAGCTGTGACCAAATCACAGCTAAGCAGGTGAAAAAAAAAAAAAAAAAAAAAAAAGCACCTGAATGAAGCGATCATTCAGCTAAATGCTTGCTTATAGCAAAGTAATTCTTTGCTATAAGAACTGTGTATAAAAAAAAAAAATAGGATCACTTCCACAGTAGGAACAATGTTACTATGGTAACATTGTACTACTTTGGTCATAGTAAAAATATGAAAAAAAAAATCTTTAAAAAAATGTAATAAAAAGTTTTAAATATAATAAAAAAAAAAAAAAAAATATATATATATATTTTTTTTTCATACTGTCACCAGTCAGTGTCCATGTTCACCGCCATGCCAGTTATATGAAGACGCTGTAACTGCACTGGTGACAGTATACGTTAAAAAAATAAATAGTGAAAATAATTTTTTTTAATTTTTTCATTTTCCGAAAAATATGACAAAAAAATACAACTTCAAAAAACTCGCCATGCCTCTTATGAAGTACGTCTGACTGTCTACTCTGCAAAAAGGGGTCATTTGGGGATATCTGTACTGTTCTGAGAGACCTCAAGAAATTAGATTGGCTGTCAGTACTTCAGGATCGATCAATTTTCAGATCTATACCATAGTTTGTGAACTCTATAACTTTCCTACAAACTAAAAAATACATCGCTAATTTGGGTTTATTTTCACCAAAGACATGTAGCAGAATACATCTGGCCTAAATTATGAAGAACAATTATTTATTTGTAAACTTTTATAACAGAAACAAAGAAAATGTGTTTTTTTTTTTCAAACTTTTTTGTCTTTTTTTGTTAATTTAGCAAAAAATAAAACCCAGCGGTGATTAAATACACCAAAAGAAAGCTCTAGTTGGGTGAAGAAAATGATAAAATTTTAGTTTGGGTACAGTGTTGTATGACCGCGCAATTGTCATTCAAAGTGTGAAGCGCTGAAACCTGAAAAATGGCCTGGGCAGGAAGGTGTAAAATCACACGGTATTGAAACGGTTACTGTTTTAAAGTAACTAAATGTTCCTTTTTTTTTCACCCTTATGCTGTGTAGAGTAAAAGGTTAGCTCATTATATTAGTTGACTTTATATAGCAACAAGGTTTATAGCAAATCCACATAAGCAGACACTAGTGATGAGTGCATGTGTAGGTCACTAACGTGTGCATGTACTAAGTACCAAAACACGTGTGTTTTTTTGTTTGGTATTGTTTGTGTATCTGTATTTATATAATTAGGTATAAACTACAGGGTGAGCTTTATCTTCTTAGGAAGACAACCCCTGGCAAAGTATTGCTAAGATCCTTTCCATCATCTGATTAGGTGCTGAGTAAGCCTAATAAAGGCTAGTTTTAGTACTTTGTAGTTCCTTGACATCAGTTCATATGCAACAGAACACACTTTTTTTTATCTTGGAAAGTGTAAATGATGCCTTTATACAACAATAGGTAATATAATGATATGCATTTAAGTTAGCATCATTTTTAAATCTGATGTGAACTAGTAAATCTGAATGTCATAGTTTTATTTTATTTTTTGTCTGTGTTTGGTTGTTCTACTTATACCACTTTCACTACTTTGATTTCTGTTATTTAGGTAATAGATGAACACTTAGACTACATGCTGTCAAAAGAAAATCAAAGAATGAACTACAGCTTGCTAAGTAACGATAATGCCTTCATGAACTATTACCCTCACTACTTTATTCAGAGGACACTTACAGCAAGATTCCAGATGAACAACACTAAGCCCCCACATGTCCAGATGGTGAGAAAACCAGTGCTAACTGTAATGGGCTTGCTGGCATTATTAGGTACATGTTTGTTTTTTCATCATTTCTCATACAACAAAACATGGCAAATGAAAAAGGTTTATTAAAAAGTCACATTTAAAATTCAAAATTATCTGTTTTACTAAACAAAAGTCGCATTTGAAATTCAAAATAGGAAAAATATCTGTTTTATTAGACAATAATTTGACTGTCGATTGGTTTGCCTGAAAAAAAAAAAAGTTATACATATAAGATATATCTTCTATGGTAGAGGGACTTGTAGGTATCAGTGGAACACAAATGTGGTCATTACCACATTGATTTTTTTATAAATACAAATGGTGAAGCGCTATAAATAAATAACAGTAAATTATAAATTATGCTTCAAAGTGCTATAATAACAATTGATTGATAAAATAAATAAAATTACTCCAATTAATAAGTGCTATAAATACCAAACAAACATATAAAGTGATGACATAAAATTGATCCCAAATAAAGTGCAATACAAATCCCTCACAGTCCCAGTGGGGGACATTTATAGTGATTTAATTAACCACTTGCTTACCAGGCACTTATACCCCCTTATGTACCAGGCCAATTTTCAGCTTTCAGCGCTGCCGCACTTTGATTGACAATTGCGCGGTCATGCAACATTGTACCCATATGAAATTTTGATCATTTTTTTCTCACAAATAGAGCTTTCTTTTGGTGGTATTTAATTGCCACTGGGCGCTTTACTTTTTGCGCTATAAATAAAAAAAGTGCAAAAAATTTGAAAAAAAAAAAAAAAAAGTTTCTTTGTTTCTATTATAAAATTTTTCAAACAGGTATTTTTTCTCCTTCACTGATGTGCGTTGATGAGGCAGCACTGATGGGCACTGATAGGCGGCACTGATGGGCACTGATAGGCAGCACTAAAGGGCACTGATAGGCAGTACTAATGAGGTGGCACGGATAGGCGGCACTGATAGACAGCACTAATGAGGTGTCACGGATAGGCGGCACTAATATGCAGCACTGATAGGCGGCAGGCGGCACTGATAGGTGACACTGATGATGGGTACTGATAGGTGCACTGACTGGCATCACTGCTGGGCACTGACTGGCGGCACTGACTGGCACATCCCCTGGGCACTGACTGGGGCACTGACTGGCACAACCCTGGGCACTGCACTGGTGGGTGGCACTGGTGGCAGCACTGGTGGGTGGGCACAGGTGGGTGGCACTGGTGGGCAAGGTGGGTGGGCACAGGTGGGTGGCACTGCTGGGCACAGGTAGGTGGCACTTCTGGGCACAGGTGGGTGGCACTGCAGAGTGGCACAGGTGGGTGCAGTGCTGGGCACAGGTGGGTGATCTGCTGGGCACAGGTGGGCGGAGCTAGTGGGCGCACTGCTGGGCACAGGTGGGCGGAACTTGCGGGTGGCACTGCTGGGCACCGATCATCAGGGCACTGATCATCAGTGCCCTGATGATCGGTGCCGATCCCCGCTCTGACAACTGCCGGTTCTCGGCAGTACTTTCCTCACGATCTGACAGCGTGAGGAAACTGCAGCCGAGAACCGGCACTTGCATTTCTCTCTGATCAGCGTGTCATTGGACACCGCTGATCACGTGGTAAAAGGCCGCTGTGATTGGCCTTTTACCACATCACGTGATCAACTGTGTCCGTAGGACACAGCGATCACGGAGATCGCCGGGGTGTGCGCCCCCTGGGGCGCGCAGGAGAGTGTGTTCTGGGAGGACGTCATATGACGTCCACTCAGAACTGGCCGGCCGCAGTGCAGCCGTCATTCGGCTATCTGCGGTCGGCAGGTAGTTAATAAGTACACTATTCTAACTAAAAGTGACTGGTGTTAATAACAAAATTCAATACTTAGGTGAAATAACTAACAATAAAAAATCTTGTGCAAATTGCAAATATTTGAGCTTCAATTTCCACTCCAAATATTTTCAGTGCTTGTGCGACACTCAGGTAGAACACATCCATAAGTGGCCAAAATGCCTCCTCACCTCCTTACCGTGACCACTAAAGGCCTCAAAGCTTTATGCAGCAACCAATTCCACACCATGCAGCATCACATATAACTGGCTCCAATAGCTCCACTTAATCTCAGCTCTGGATCTCCCCTCAAATGGTGATCCCCGCAGTATAGCTCATAGGTACATACCATTAAACCAGGGCCAGTTTTGTAGATTTCATACCAGCAGTTTTTCCCACATACTATGGGTGTATTGCAAGGCTTTGAGTGTAGTAAAATGGCATCTACCGGAAGTGCGTCACCGTCCTCTACACTTTACGTCACGATTGGCACATGACTTCCTCAGGTTACCTTTTTTTCAATACCACATTGACACTCCCCCCAAACTCCATAATCAAACATCAATTTCCTCTGTATGGACATTAAGCTGGAGGGAAGAGTCTAAGTTTAGTTTCCTGTTCATGTGGTATGATCTGGCAGCTAAACTTTGAATAGTTTCATAAACATTTCACTATAAAGTCATGTCTTGTGGCCCTTGACCTTTTGCTGGCAGTGGGGATCCCTTAATGTTCTGTGAATAAACTGAAACACAGGGGTTGATTTACTAAAACTGGAGAGTGGGAAATCTGGTGTAGCTCTGCATAGAAACCAATCAGCTTCCATGTTTTATTGTCATGCTTAAATCAACAAGCCGAAGTTAGAAGCTGATTAGCTACCATGGACAGCTACATTAGTTTTTTTCACTCTCCTGTTTTAGTAAATTAACCTCATAGTTGCTTAGTTTGCTCACTGTTGCTACAGTGGCTGGTATAATAATTAATCTGGCTAATAAATACCCACAAATATTTTTCATATGATTAAGGCATTCATCTCCTACATCTCTGTCACTGTTACTATCCAGATACAATACCTAATAATGCAGAGGGCTTTTTTTATCAAACATGTTTTGATTTGATATTAGTCATGTCACTTTGCTTTATAAATAATATAGCTGCTCAAATAGTATTTTTTTTTAGATTTTATTTCTTGGCCAGTTCAATTTAATTGTATTTATTTAATAAATTGCATATATTATGTGTATATGTGTGTGTGTATATATGTATGTTATATATGTGTGTGTGTGTGTATACAGTGATCAGCTTAAATACAGGACACCCCAACAGATTTGTCAGAAAACCTTTACTTTTCTTTCAGAATCAACATTTTCTATGGTACACTATACTCCAAAATACTCCCATAAATGTGGGCCGTTGATTGCAAACAAGATTTGTAATTAATTTGCGCACACAAAAAAAAAGTATTTTTCCTTACAAATTCATTCAAGACCATGTTGCAAAAATGAATACACCCAATAAATACACCCAACTACATGCGAGTCTAATTATTCATTAAACACGTGTCCAGCAGACAGTTGCTTATAAAAGGGCGTTACTTAACAAAGAAAACCCCTTCCCATTTAATGCTGTCAGCATTGGCACCACATGGAAGAGAAATGTTACAAGGCCTGAGAAAGAAAATCATTTTTTTACACAAGAAAGGTTAAGTCTACAAGAAGATCAGCAAAGCTTTACTTATCAGTCAGAATACTGTAGCACAAGTGATAAAAAAATGTAAGAAAGATGGAACTGCAACCATCACACAGAGACATTCAAGCCATCCACGGAAGTTAACACCCCCATAGCAGTGTCTTCGGATGAGAAGGGTTGAAGAAAATCGCCATGCAAGTTCACTGCAGTTAGCTAAAGAAGTAGAAAGCCAAACTGGAGTGCTTGCTTCCCGTGACACAAAAAGGAGTATACTGCAGAGGAATGGCTGGCATGGGTGTCTTCCATGAAGGAAGCCACTCCTAAAGCCCATGCACAAAAAAGCCTGCCTAGAATTTGCCAGGGCCCATGCCAAAAAAAAGAAGAAAACTACTGGGACTCTGTACTTTGGAGTGATGAGACCAAGATAAATGTTTTTTGGAATGGAAGGCTTCAAAACTGTATGGTGTCGCAAAGGTGAAGAGTACGAAGAAAAATATATGGTGCCTACAGTGAAACATGGTTGTGGCAGTGCCCTTCTGTGGGGCTGCATGACTGCTGCTGGTGTTGGGAGCTGCATTTCATTGATGGTATCATGAATTCACAGATGTACTGCTCTATATTGAAAGAGAGAGATACTACTGCTACCATCATTCCGTGCCCTTGGTCGTCGTGTACTTTTCTAACATGACAATGATCCAAAACACACATCTAAGGTCACTGTTGCATTTCTGAAAAATAATAAGGTGAACGTGATTCAGTGGCCAAGTATGTCTCCTGATCTGAACCCAGCTGAACACCTATGGGGAATTCTGAAGAGACAAGTTGAGCATCACTCTCCATCCAGTATCCAGGCTCTGAAAGAGGTCGTTCTTGAAAACTGGAAAAAGATAGATGTTGCAATATGTCGCCAAACTGTTCATTCTATGCCTTGAAGACTTGGTGCTGTCCTTACAAATTATGGAGGTGTAGTCCATACTAGTCATAGTCAAATACTAGATGTAGTCGTTTTGTTGTGGGGTGTATTCATTTTTGCATCAACTAATTTTAGTAATCTGTTGTGAGAGCCTGCTGCTTGGTGAAATGTCTGACTGCTGATAGAACACCAAAAGGTAAATGTGCTACCTGTTTGTATTGGGGAACCCATTAGGGGGTCCCCTGTTAGTCAGGAACTAACATAAAATGGATAAAATGGTGTTTTGTTTGCTGCTGCACTCAGTCTTCTTTATAGATAGTGATATCGTTACAACTTTTCGAAAATGAAATAGTTTTGGATATTTTAACTTGACTCTTCCTGAGGCAATTAGTAGCATCTCAACATTGTAATAAGCTTCATAGATACAAATAGCTGATAAACTACTGTATTTCATTCATTTTAACCTTCAGCAAATTGTTTGATATCTTCTCAATAGCCACAGAGCAGAAGCAGTTGGATAGCTCCCCATGAGATTAAATTGCCATATACACCTGTGGAACTAAAATAGATATTATTAACCCCTCTCCATTCAAAAAAATAAATGTTGATTGTAGTAAATGTAAATCCACGTCATGTCCCATTGAATGCAATGTATTTTAATTATTAATCCCTTTTACCCCTCTTTTTACTAAATACTAATTCTTAGTTACCCTCCTCTGTGTTTTATATGTGTATTGTTTTTTTTTTTTTGGGGGGGTTGTTTTTTTTTTGCAGGTGATGTACACATTTCCACACAAATATACATGGATGATAATAAGTCGATCAACAATAGTAACATTGGAGTCATAGCAAGCACACATGATCCTGAAAAAGACATTCTGTCTGACAGTTGGCAATCAACCATACTACTTTATGCATCTGATGATAACAAAACATCTACAGATACAAAGTTTTTAACATTAAATTTCACAAATTTCCCAAAATCAAAAGGTAATTTTTTCAGTTTTTCAGTAATCAATATTAATTAAATATTTATTGACACCATGAAATGTTTTTGGTTGTTGAAAAACATTTTCTGTTAAAATATTCATTGACACTTTTTTTTTTTTTTTTTTTTTACAAATCAATTAGCTGCAAGCGGTCTTTGCAGGACTCAGATCAGGAGGAAAGTAAAATTCTTTAGAGGAAGAACTAGCACTTATATCACAATGCCCTAATCACAGACAGCATTACCTAAAATGGATACTGAGGACCAGGTTCACATTTTAGCAAGGAGGTATAAAATGTTTAATTGCATGTACAGGTCCGATCCAGGAGGTCTAGTGATGCCATTGAGTAATGCAATAAACATTGTCCCCAGTCCATTTCTGTCTCTAGACCTCTTATAAGCCACATGACTATAGTTGAAGAGGAGTGGGCTCTCTTCAGGCGTACCTGCCCTTAATTTATCAACTGCTTTATGTGCTCCAATTTAGGGATTCTCAAAGTTAGAGTTAGGATCGCAGTATACAGAGGAGCCTTGGCGTGGTACTGCAGCTTCCATATACAGTATATTTGCAAATGTATGCATCTAAACTCTCTGTTGTTAATGCAAGTTGTTAGAGAGGGTCAATTTGTTTTTTTTGCAGGCTAGCTGGTAAGTGTGCTGGGAAAGTTATTGTTTGTGATGTGCAAAGCCCTACCATGTGCACCTTACTGCAGTTATAAACAGGGGAGGACTGACCTTTTGGAAACTCAAGCACTGCCCGAGGGCCCAGGGTCAGTAGGGGGTCCCATGAGATGCCCCTGATACCTTTTTCATAGGCTTTTTTGAGTTAGGGCAAGGACACTGGGGCTCCATGATCCCCTATTGCCGGGGGCCCCATGAGTTGTTAGTCCGTTCCTGTTTAAATTGCGGTGGTTGCTATCCATTTGTATAGCTTAAGAACGTTGAAACCCACACTGGAGAAAAGAGAAAAAAGCCTCCTAGATTTTGTAGAACTGGTTCATCTTCACTGTGTCACATTCATTTCTTTCGCCTGTTTAATGACAGGAATGAGCTCATAAAAAATTAGGGCAATTGAACCCTGGGACAGTGAAAGAATGCACACAGCCTACCAAGAGGTCAGAATGTGGTGCAAACATGTAAGATGTAAAATATCAGTTTGAGAACTCTTATTTTGTGGCATTTCTCAGGTTTGTCTCTGTGCATTCTCCTGGTCTTTCTCTTAAGAGTCAGTGACCCTTGAGTTCTATTTCTCCTTGAATAGTGAAAGGAAAATATGACACAAAGAAAACATATGAATGCAGCCTAAATACAGCTATTGTTTAATATATATGCAGTATAACAAAACTAGCACTATATTGCTTGGTAACACAAATTGCTAATCAGCCAATCATATAGCAGCAACTCCATGCATTTCGGCAACTAGGCGTGGTGACGACTTGCTGAAGTTCAAACAGAGGATCAAAATGGAGAATTAAGCGGATTTAAGTGACCTTCAACAGGGTATGGTTGTTGGTGCCAGCCGGGCTGGTCTGAGTATTTCAAAAACTGCTGATTTACTGGGGTTTTCACGCACAACCATCTCTAAGGTTTACAGAGAATGGTCCAAAAAAGAGAAAATATTCAGTGAGCAGCAGCTGTGTGGACGAAATGCCTTGTTGATGTCAGAGGTCAGAGGAGAATGGGCAGGCTGGTTCAAGATAGAAAGGCAACAGCCTCATGTCAATATGTAGCAAAATCTCTGTGGAATGTTTCCAACACCTTGTTGAATCTATGCCATGAAGAATTAGGGCAGTTCTGAAGGCAAAAGGGGGTCCAACCCAGTTCTAGCAAGGTGTACCTAATAAAGTGGCCGGAGAGTGTATATTGCACTAATTTATTACCTGTCTTTTACCATATAAACCAAATTTATCTCTTACCATTTCAGATCTTTTGTATGTAACATATTACATTGATAACGCATTGACAAACCCATTTTTGGAATGGCAAAAGGTTGGAAGCCCAGACTTCCCAACTATGAAAGAATTTAAACAAATACGTGATTCAGAGGTAAGATAATCCTATTCTTAAATATTACTTAATATTTTCATAAGCTTATTTTAAGTGTGTGTATGTACAGTGGGGCAAAAAAATTGTGCAAGTTCTCCCACTTAAAAAGATCAGAGAAGCCTGTAATTGGCATCATAGGTAGACCTCAACTATGAGAGACAAAATGAGAAAAAAAATCCAGACAATCACATTGGCTGATTTGGAAAGAATTTATTTGTAAATTATGGTGGAAAATAAGTATTTGGTCAATATCAAAAGTTCATCTCAATACTTTGTTATATATCCTTTGTTGGCAATGACAGAGGTCAAACGTTTCCTGTAAGTCTTCACAGGGTTGGCACACACTGTTGCTGGTATGTTGGCCCATTCCTCCATGCAGATCTCCTCTAGAGCAGTGATGTTTTGGGGTTGTCGCTGGGCAACATGGACTTTCAACTCCCTCCAAAGGTTTTCTATGGGATTGAGATCTGGAGACTGGCTAGGCCACTCCAGGAACTTGAAATGCTTCTTACGAAGCCACTCCTTCCTTGACCAGGTGATATGTTTGGGATCATTGTCATGTTGGAAGACCCAGCCACGTTTCATCTTCAATGTCCTTGCTGATGGAAGGAGGTTTGCACTCAAAATCTCACGATACATTGCCCCATTCAGTCTGTACGTCCTGGTCCCTTTGCGGAGAAACAGCCCCAAAGCATGATGTTGCCACCCCCATGCTTCACAGTAGGTATGGTGTTCTTTGGATTCAGCTCAGCATTCTCTCTCCTCCAAAAACGACGAGTTGTGTTTCTACCAAACAGTTCTATTTTGGTTTCATCTGACCATATGACATTCTCCCAATCCTCTTCTGGATCATCCAAATGCTCTCTAGCAAACTTCAGATGGGCCCAGACATGTACTGACTTAAGCAGGGGGACACGTCTGGCACTGCAGGATCTGAGTCCCTGGCCTTTGTTACGTTGGTCCCAGCTCTCTGCAGGTCATTCACTAGGTACCCGTGTGGTCCTGGGATTTTTGCTCACATTCTTGTGATCATTTTGACCCCATGGGGTGAGATCTTGCGTGGAGCCCCAGATTGAGGGAGATTATCAGTGGTCTTGTATGTCTTCCATTTTCTAATTATTGCTCCCACAGTTGATTTGTTAACACCAAGCTGCTTGCCTATTGCAGATTCAGTCTTCCCAGCCTGAGGCAGGTCTACAATTTTGTTTCTGGTGTCCTTCGACAGCTCTTTGGTCTTCACCATAGTGGAGTTTGGAGTGTGACTGTTTGAGGTTGTGGACAGGTGTCTCTTATACTGATAACAATTTCAAACAGGTGCCATTGATACAGGTAATGAGTGCAGGACAGATGAGCCTCTTAAAGAAGAAGGTGCAGGTCTGTGAGAGCCAGAAATCTTGCTTGTTTGTAGGTGACCAAATACTTATTTTCCACCATAATTTGCAAATAAATTCTTTCCAAATCAGCCAATGTGATTGTCTGGATTTTTTTTCTAATTTTGTCTCTCATAGTTGAGGTCTACCTATGATGCCAATTACAGGCCTCTCTGATCTTTTTAAGTGGCAGAACTTGCACAATTGGTGGCTGACTAAATACTTTTTTGCCCTATTGTATGTGTGTGTGTATGTATCTCTCTCTCTCTCTCTCTCTCTCTCTCTCTCTCTCTCTGGTCAGGTCCATAAATATTGGGACATCGACACAATTCTAACATTTTTGGCTCTATACACCACCACAATGGATTTGAAATGAAACGAACAAGATGTGCTTTAACTGCAGACTGTCAGCTTTAAGTTGAGGGTATTTACATCCAAATCAGGTGAACGGTGTAGGAATTACAACAGTTTGCATATGTGCCTCACACTTATTAAGGGACCAAAAATAATGGGACAATTGGCTTCTCAGCCGTTCCATGGCCAGGTGTGTGTTATTTCCTCATTATCCCAATTACAATGAGCAGATAAAAGGTCCAGAGTTCATTTCAAGTGTGCTATTTGTATTTGGAATCTGTTGCTGTCAACTCTCAAGCTGAGATCCAAAGAGCTGTCACTATCAGTGAAGCAAGCCATCATTAGGCTGAAAAAAAACAAAACAAACCCATCAGAGAGATGGCAAAAACATTAGGCGTGGTCAAAACAACTGTTTGGAACATTCTTTAGAAGAAGGAACGCACCGGTGAGCTCAGCAACACCAAAAGACCCGGAAGACCACGGAAAACAACTGTGGTGGATGACCAAAGAATTCTTTCCCTGGTGAAGAAAACACCCTTCACAACAGCTGGCCAGATCAAGAACACTCTTCAGGAGGTAGGTGTATGTGTGTCAAAGTCAATAATCAAGAGAAGACTTCACCAGAGTGAATACAGAAGGTTCACCACAAGATGTAAACCATTGGTGAGCCTCAAAAACAGGAAGGCCAGATTAGAGTTTGCCAAACGACATCTAAAAAAGCCTTCAAAGTTCTGGAACAACATCCTATGGACAGATGAGACCAAGATCAACTTGTACCAGAGTGATGGGAAGAGAGAGTATGGAGAAGGAAAGGAACTGCTCATGATCCTAAGCATACCACCTCATCAGTGAAGCATGGTGGTGGTAGTGTCATGGCGTGGGCATGTATGGCTGCCAATGGAACTGGTTCTCTTGTATTTATTGATGATGTGACTGTTGACAAAAGCAGTAGGATGAATTCTGAAGTGTTTCGGGCAATATTATCTGCTCATATTCAGCCAAATGCTTCAGAACTCATTGGACGCCGCTTCACAGTGCAGATGGACAATGACCCAAAGCATACTGCAAAAGCAACCAAAGAGTTTTTTAAGGGAAAAAAGTGGAATGTTATGCAATGGCCAAGTCAATCACCTGACCTGAATCCGATTGAGCATGCATTTCACTTGCTGAAGACAAAACTGAAGGGAAAATGCCCCAAGAACAAGCGGGAACTGAAGACAGTTGCAGTAGAGGCCTGGCAGAGCATCACCAGGGATGAAACCCAACGTCT